TGTATTGGTGATAAAAGAATCTTTGTAAAATTGACTTACCAGCTCTCGCATAATTATCACAGTACCCATCTTTGCCAAACGACGAACAGGTTCCGTAGTTCGTGGGTCGCTCACTAGTTCTTGCAGTAGTGGAATACCTCCCTCATCTGTCACATAGGCACAATATCTAAAACAAAGAACCATCTGTAGTGGAGAAAAACAGGAAGCTGGCTTCTCGGGTAATTGATATTGAGGGAAGTTAAGCTCAAATATATTCAAAGCATCGTTTTGAAAAATTTAGCCTCATCCGACAAGCTAAGCACTAATCTATCACCCTAACGATGAACACCAAGAAGTTTCTACCGGGACACCTTAAATGTTGTCGGTACACAATCAACGAAGAGAAAAAAGTATGGTCAAAAATGGTCTGCCCTATTTCTTTCCAATGTATTATGACTACTGTAAGTATTGAATATTGTACTGAGAAAAAAATGGCCAGAACAAGCACATATTGCACTGAACAAGCAAGCAAACTATAACAATGATGATTAACAAAAGAAAACTTCGCAAACAAGCCCGACTCACTTCGCTCCATCTGTCGTAGTTAGATTAGCCAATGCCCAAACGGCCCAATGTTGACTAGCATACGCATGCCATAAGGGGAGCAGGCGGAGAATCGGACGGAATGAACGATAGTTTATGAATCGCCTTGTGTCGAGGCGCCATGCTTCCGTTGCCTAAAGAAATCCTTGAAATAAGTTACTCAGATAATCACGAAAAAGTCAATCATTATTTCACTTAGAAACTTGTTTGACGAAATGGAAAGGTTCTGAATTAGCGAAGATTTACTATTCACTATAGTTTGTGGCCGCATTACAACATAGGAGGGAGGGATGTGCGAACGATGACATTGGAACAATTGAGCATGTCTACGAGCCAACTGCGAAGAGAAACTACCACTCCTTTCGACCTTACTTTCAACAATCTCTCCCGATGGGGAAAATGGTGTAGCGGCCAATGGCGCTGCTTACCATGCTCCAATTCAGGGATAGAATTTTAGATGGCATGCCATCATTACAACAAAACTACGAATCTCTGAATCGAGTCATCGCTGTGAGAGAATAAACCACTGACTCGTATACCGGCAGGCCGCCCGTAGGTCATTGAATAGGCAAAACTGCATAATACGGCACTACGATTTTGAATGGAAGTAGGATGCGTGGCACATCCCAAAACTGAATTGATCAACGCGCTTGCTTTACCCTTTTCATCCCCCCCCTTCCTCTACTTCCTCTTATGGGTCCTCAAAACCACGATCGCGGATATAGGAACACAAGAAAAACCCACTTTTCTGAAAATCCGTTCCCCGAACTCTTCAAAAGGCACTGCTCAATGACTTATTATATCCCTGACCCCTTTCCTACAGTCCCGCCAAGACAACATGTATTCAAATTCAGTGAATCGCGACACTTACGACTAAGCTGTAATTAAATTCAATCACGCGGTGGGGTCAATGTTCAGCTCTCGGGGTTATGCTGACAAAGCATTGATAACGACAGGAATGAACCTTTGTTAAAGAAAGGGAGAAGAAGATAACAAGGCTGAGTCACACTCACCTTTACAACACTTGCCATAACTTGCTCTCTGCGCACTGTTAGACCGCTCCAAGCCTCTTCGCCATCACTGACCATATGCGCAAGAACACCAGCGCTATTGTAACTGATCTCAATCGAGTCTTCCACCAAATCCAGCAAAGCTCTGTGAAGAATACATGAAACACTCTGCCATTCAATTCACTAGAAAATTCAATAAGGAATGAATGAAACCCACGAGAATATCTTCACATAATCGTCATTCATAAGTTGTGACCGTAGACCATCGACTTCAGCAATATTTCCAATCAATCCCATCATATTTCGAACTAATTCTCTGAAATTAAACAAGCATTATGAATCACTCATTGAGCCCGGTTTACAAGATCTCATGATAATCAAAAGGAGACTGTGGCGATATTTAAGAGCAAAACCTATTAAACACAAGGGCATCAGAAATCAATAGAGGAAAGCAGACTGATGCAGTAAAGAGAAGAAAAACAAGGAAGGAAAAGAAAGGGAATGAGGTGCTCAATAGAAGTCTCAATCTGAAGCATTTACTGAAGTAGCCCAGAAGAACAGAAAGGAAAAATGATTCGAAAAAGCGTACACAAATTGGGACATTTGGGCTGTTTCTTCATCAAAAAGTATGCACAGAAAACAAAGAAAGAGGATATTTAAGACCCAAAGCGGAAGATGTCCACCATAAAAGAAAGTATTTCAATTGCAGTGAGAGGAGGATAATTAAGCTTCTATAGCAAGTGTTGCAATCAACCATCGCTCTATAGATTTACCAATAGGGCAAAAAACAGTGAACATGGAGCAATCAAAACCATAAATTCTATGAATAACAAAAAAAGTAAGTAACATAAATAAATGAACAATAATAAAAAGCAAACAAGATACAAACCTCTCATTTCGGAACGCATCGAAACATTTATGGAAAAGCAGCAGACCGTCGGCTTTTAGGAACCGTTCACAGTTCACCGGAGTTTCGTCTAGAATAACGGCAAGATTTGAAGAAAAAAATTGACAACAAAAAATTGAGAAAATAGAGATGAAAAAGTGCTAAAAACCTGTGATATTCCATAAGAAGCTCCATCCAACTTCCATGACGTCATCACACATGTTCGTCGCCAGTTTTCTACGGATCTGATCGAGAATCATCTGCAAATTTAACGGTCACTCTATGTAACTAAGCATCTATTCATACCAAAAGCTCAAAATGGAAGAGAAATGTCATGAATAATAAGATTTTATGTAAAATATTAGAAATTTAAAAACTATTAGGGACGACGGTGATGAGTGACGACTATCTCAATGAATATCAGTCACCACGTCTCGACCATTTCTGCCAGAACACGTGAACTCACCTCAATAGCGCCGAAACTGCCAACTTGGACTTTTTGATCGCCTTCTACATGACATGCCATTGAGTTCAACAGGAACACCACAATTCGTTGCGTTAGATTATCCGCGTTATGGTGCTGGAGGACGGTCACTAACAAGATGGCCAATCGACTGAAAATAATCATTTACTTACAACACTTTCACAAGTAATTCGATTTTGGGTGAATTCCTTCCTCTCTATGCTTTTTCCAAGACCAATGAAGCTGCTACTAAGACCCACTAAGACTCGCAACATGTAGATAGTCAAGGTTACACAACCCTGACATGAAAGTTGAAATCATCGAAATTCAACATAATGCACTAAAGCTTTCCCCATTGACTTCACTATAGCTGCATTTTCTCTGCAAGACTATAACCTCAAATAGGTCGTGTGCTGGTTGAGCTTCTCGCTGATTGAAAAATAGTAATTATGGCGGCTTGCTAAAATGCTAACGTTCTCCAGCCAGGAAGCAAACTAATATTACTCCAGCTGACTAATCAAGCGTAGGTCAGGCAAGAAGTATGAGTACGCTTGACTATCAACCGAAAATCACCACGAAACATGCCAATTTAAACACATCAACAACACTTTCGGTCCATTCGAAGGATGATCACCACTTCAAACGTAGTGTATTCTTGTTGAAAAAGAGGACACGAAGCAGTGAAGGCGGGTGTCGCCAAGACCACGGACTCTAGCAGTGAGTACCGTGCCTAATTGACGAGAAAGGCGGCTACGAATGCCAGAACCTAATCCACACAAAAATATCGCTCACAATTTCAAAGTCGTTTGCTAAATTTAATCACCTTAGAATCTTCACCTTTAACGCCCCTTTACGTAAATAGACAACCAGCAAACCTGTAATCGAAAAGAATCTCCTGTGGTATCTCGAACTGACAGAGCGACAGACTCAGCATGTTCCTTAACCCATCTTACTTGCTTCTCCATGCTGTGTGTTTCCATCCCTATAACAAAACTGAATATAACAAGGAATCAGAGAAGCTCCAACCCTAATGGTTTGTATAATGATCTTTCAAGTCAATCCAATTTCCCAGAAAAAAAAAGCAATGCGTGCGGTTAAAAACTGAACTTAATCCTTCTATACGATATAGGCCACCTACAGTAATTGGTAGGGTAAATTGCAGTGGAAATGCTCGCCTCAAATCTACGCTTGACTGGGTCATTCTGAAATTTCGAGCACGAAAACAAGTGAGAGGAATGAAAGAGCACGGCTTGGACAAAGATTGGTGACGGTGTGTAGTGTCTGCACAATCCTGCTACCTGCTATTTCTATTTGCTGGTCATTCTTTTCGCCAGGTTAATCGCGGCCGCAGAGAGAAGAAAGCCCCATATCTCCAGCAAATATTCGAAGATAACCTTCAGAAACGAGTGGGTCAATGTGAGGAAAATCAAAAATGAAGCCATATCGAGGCATCAAATGCATGCCTTGATGCCCATTAGTTTTCTCCGAACAGTTGCTCTCCTCTTTGTAATCTGCTTTCATGCCCGCCTTTCCATAGCGAGCTCAGAATGGACCCGGTACCTCCCTGCTACTCCCTCTCCTCAGATAAGCACGTTCTGCTTTTTCTCCCAATTCATAACGAATTCTCGCCAAAATTCTCGAAGGGCTTTGGAAAAACTCTGCGTCATTACGATTTTTTTTTTTCAGATTTCTATAGTAAAATTACATGATCATATATCACATGTTATACCAATGAAAAAAGTAACGTACCACTGAGTAAGGCGCTAACTACTCGTTTCTTCGTGGTCCCTAATTTTTCAATGGCCACCTTCCGGAGGATGTAGCAATAATTGGCCGAGGCGCGGCATCATACATGCAGTGTGCTAAGTCTCAAAGATGATTCTGGGCATAGGGCGTTCCACCCGAAATGAAGCCTTCCGTACGAACCTAGAAATTACAAAACTGATTCTTCTGGCCAACTGCAAAGTAAAACAAATACAAAAAAAAGAAACTTCAAAAAAAACGCTATAACTCACTAGAGGATTGCTATTTCCAAAGCGGTACAGCTGATAGCTCTCATTCAAAACAGACTGCAGCAAGCCGGCACGATCTTTGTACATTTGTAAAGCCATAATGACCTAAAATAGCTTTGATCAGACAGGAGAAAAACAGAAAAGCAAAAAGAATGTTTTTTTTTCAAATGTCAAGGTTTTCCAAAATTGACTTGAAAATAACTTCGTATAACTTAACTTGGTCTTCATTTGCATCACCAGAAATGTGTTTGGCCGGAATCTCACCAAAATGGCTAGCGTTTTCACAATTGAACAGACCAATAAAATCCAGTGGTTGCTGAGGAACCGTAGTCCTACGATATCTGAGCGCACATTTCCTTGACTGAAAAAACATTTTTTAAATCAAAGTCAAAAAAGAACAGGAAAAGAATTGGAAAGACGCGTTAAATGAGGAGGCCATTTCGTTTACATCTCATCATGTTACATTCAGTACTAGAAAGCAAACCGATTTTCCAACTAGACTTCAAGCAGCTTACTTTTGGAATAAGGGGATTCAGAAAACCCTAAGTATCGTGAGACGTTCAATACAAAATGTAGTATATCGTAAGGTTAAATGGGGGTTGTCTATAACTGGATTGGGACAAAATTTCAATATTACGTAACAATATGTACTTACTGCATATCGGGCTTCACTGGCCAATCCCTTGGACTTGGCTGTGCGGCCAAATTCGTAGAGGAAATGTCCAGGCAAGTGAGATGCTTCAAATTTGTGACCAGCTTGTGCAGTGCGGTCACTGGCCTCGGATACAGACCCGTGTCTCGTGATGATTGTGAAAGGTCAAGAAATCTAAATAAGAAAGAGTAGAGTATGCTTCAAATTGGTTGGTTGTGATGATAGCCATTTTCGCAAGTTTGGTAAAATCTTGGTAACTTGGTAAAATTGGATCAAATTCACAATTCCAGCAAAAAAAAACAACGATCGTCAGGGGTTTTTACGCCCAGTATGCGTACCTGAGTTCCGTCAGAGTGATGATGCTGTCAATGGTACGGTACAAATCAGGTACATCAAATAATATCAGTGTCGTCAGACGCAGAGGCTGCACACATCGAAGGTCTTCCATCTATAACAAATAACAAATAGAATAACAAATAATCAACTAAAATAGATAGCTTCGAAGAACTTATTAACGAACCCGATTCCAGTAGGACAAATCAAGGACCCTCAAATCTTTCAACGGTTCAAAGACGCGATGCAACAAATCATTTGGTGAATTCTCTTCGTCTTCGGGGAACCTCCGCACCTAAAACAGCCATTTACATATGCAAGAAATCGATAGAATAAACCGACTTACCTTAGGCAGAGTTAGCGTTGTTACATTAGGACATCTCGAGGTGAACACTGGTGGTTCACGTTCTTCTTCTATGACAATTTTTTCTTCTATGGGCTCAGTTAAAGAAGCAATACCAATACCCCCATTGAAAGAGGAAGAGCATCTGCAACAAAAAGTAAATATTTGATTTTAAACAAAATAAAATAGTAAAGCATAAAAATGATAAAGTAAAAATCAAACAAGGTTGAAGTACGCTTACCCTTCAAAAATTGGTTGCTGATTTGAATGCATCAGATGTGATGGGCCACCTCGATTCTCTCGCATTTGATCCAGACCACCAGCTCCTTCTAAATCTTCTTCGCCTAACACCGGTATGTTACGAGTATCCATACTGGCTACACCGATCTTCCTGAAATACGAAAGCACTGAATTATAAGTGAATAGTGGATGACGTTGAAAAATGCAAAGAAAAGTAATAGTGAAATCAGAAACATAACAATCTATACCTGCGTGGTGGTGGCCGACTCAGTAGCTCCATGGATGTCATTTTGAGTGATCGCAAATTCGGAAATGTCACATTTCGTTGATCCAACAGCGTGTTCGTCTCATCCGATATGCCCTAAAATAATAATCATTCATTTAATTTCATAAGTTTAAAAGATGTTAATCTTTTTACTTAATGCACAGCGGCATTTGTGAGATATAGACCGTTCTATACACATAAGTACACTACCACAATCAATCACACGCGAGCAGTGTTCTCCATCGGAATGATATACACACTTATATAGAAATTCTTAAAAAACACTTCAGCCAAACTCTCCAAGTAATGACCAAACTCATCTTCCACTATGACACAGTTTGTGTGAGGATAACTGAGCTCCAATTTGTAGAAAAAGTCTATGAAACGCGAGGAAGGCTGTCTTGAAGTGAGAAAATAAAATTATTCTGTCGCGCTAACTTCAGTTCTACACACATTGGCCCTAATGCTAACACTAGAGAGGAAAAAACGGAACTATATCTACTATTGCCGAGACTCTTTGAAAAAGTTTCCGAAGTCAAGCGATCAAAGAACTTCACTGAAAACAATCGTGAACTTATTTCAAGCACAGATTGTGTTCATTAGGACGCTTAACTTCTTAAAGAAACTTGTTCGAGCCGGTATTCACTTCTACAATTTTACCTAATTTTTTTTTTTCTTTTTCCTTTTTTTTGGAGAAAATTTTGCAAAAAAGGTGATATGAACGGATTCCATTTTCTAATGGGTCGAAATTCCTCTGCGTGTCAAGCACACAATAGCGTTCAACGTGCTGCAGCTAATGAATGGGACTGCTTTATCTCAGTACAACTGACGGCAACCGACGGCTTGTTAAGGGGGTGGCAAACTTCGACAAGCCTTGAAGAATGAATGCGGGACGTTAGGCTGTTGAAACCTCCCGTCTATCAAATCAACAGAGCAGCTCTACAATACCACCAGCAATACCGGGGTTTCAATGAATGAAAGTAGAACCGGCGATCACTAAATATTAAACTCCCTTAATAAACTGACAACTGTGGACTATCGCAAGTTGGGAGACGAATATCATGGGTCATTTTGCATGTCATTATGTCCAAGTCAATAGTAATAAACATAAAATCCTTCTATTTTATAAAGCGCTAACTTTGTGTGTCGGTTTGTGTATCTGTATGTGTGTGTATGTATGTGTGTCCGTCCGCAAAATGAAGTGAGTGAGAAGGAAGCTCATGGGATAAACAAACCGCTAACAAATCGGGTAGCTTACAGGATTTGAGATATCAATGTTTTGTAGCAGGATAGTTGTGATAACACTCTTAGGGCTATATAAACACCTGCTTTAGCACACTTCCGTTCATTCCACATGGTGCTGCAGTGGCAGCTGGAGGGCAGTGGAGAGAGGAAGGGAGGATGAGGAAGGGAAGCGAAAAATCTACCGTCATATCATGATTGTGTCCCTTCTACTGTATGAAACACCATTGTGTTGCATACGCGTCACTTCCAGGTGTTGGTGTCACAGGAGGAAGGGACCATAGCGGAGGATAGAAAGCTTGCGCAGGAAAGGAAGGTCCCGGCGGTTGACGGGGGACTAATCTGGTTCTAAATAAAATAGGAATGTCATAATAAGATTATTAAGAAAGAGGAAAAAGTAGAACTAAAGTATTCGGTATGTGAACCACAAACTTACTTTGACATTAGTAAGATCCAGCTGGGTGATACCGTTCTGATGAGCTTCTAGTAAATCAGCTAGTAATGTGTCTGTCAGATCTGCTCCAGTAAGATCAAGATGCGACAATGGCAAACGTGCCGAGTCGCACCATGCTCGTAACGCCTCGGCCGCTACTGGTTCTTTCTGAAAAATGTAAATTTAGGGAACTAACTTTAGCAATAAGTTACTCAATAAAACTATCTGCAAGACAAATAAGAATCA